ACTGATCTTTCCTCTGCACAGGGACCTCTGCCCGTCCCACCCCAGCCACTGCCCTGCCCCAGGCAGCCGTCCAGACAGCTGCTGTGGACACCAGCACTGCCCCAGCCCCTCACCTCTCAATCTACTTCTTATAGTCCGATAGGACTGGCCACAGGCAGTCACCTGGCTTCCTTAGTCCCCTGGCGCTTTCTGGTCATGTGATCCCTCCAGTCACTGGCTTCACCTGAGGATTCTCCATCCCCCTAGGAGGAACTACAGTACTCAGACCTGCATCTTTTAAAGGGCCATGAATCTGACTGGGCACAGTGGGGACATATGGATCTGTCAAAGGTCCCGTGTCCGTTACACAGAGTCTAAGCACGACTGTACTAGAGATCCTACTGATAAGGGAGGGGTGTGAGTTATGAGATTGTTTCTGTCTGTGCTGTATCTGTGTTGTGCACAAATAGAGGATTTCAGTTCTGGCAGTCTAGTTCTGAGACGTTTACCTTTTATTTCTCATGGTAGTGTGTGCAACATGTAAAATCCACACACATAGCGTGTGCATTTGTTATGCATAATTACCCGCCTTTGCAATCTCTGTATTAATGCATTAAATATATTAGCTTGGTTTACACAGGAGCTAATTGTTTTGTTTGCTTTAGGGAGCAGGGTGTTCAAACATTGTACACAAAATGTCAGCACAACATGCATGCCCTGTGTGGACGACACATATACAGAGCATCCCAATGGCCTAACAGAGTGCATGAGATGTAAAGTCTGCGATGCAGGTAAGGAAGCTGTCCGGTGTGTGTGTGTGTGCGGGGGGGGGGGGGGGGGGGATGGATTTTAATTATTTTTTTCTGAGTTGTCTCCCCCAGCCCACATATACAAAAGCAGCCTAGTTGTTTGGGCCCAGGACTGGAAGTCAAGAGTCCTGGGTTTTGCTCACAGTTCTCTTACTGAGTTCCTTGCAATCTTGGGCAAATCACTGAAGTGGAGATTTCTAGCACAGTGCATGGGCTTCAGTCGCACATCTTCCACTGATTAAGGGCTGTGGAATCATCCCGGGAGATTCTTCTCAGGGGGAAAGTGGATCTCTAGATTTAGCAGAAGTAGAACAAACACAATAAAAATAATTATAATCAAACATTTCACATGGTGTCCTTTGTTGTAGAGCAGCAGCTCTGCACCATCAGGATCTGGATTGTTTGCAGGGAGATACCATCATAGATTGTTAAGGTTGAAAGGGACCTCAGGAGGTCATCTAGTCCAACCCCCTGCTCAAAGCAGGACCAATCCCCAATTAAATCCCCAAATGTCCCCCTCAAGGATTGAACTCTCAACCCTGGGTTTAGCAGGCCAATGCTCAAACCACTGAGCTATCCCTCCCTCCAGGAACCTTCCCTTTCAGATCCCAGATCCTGAGCAGTGGCTGAGGAACACGCATGTACCTCAGGAGGCAGGAGTGACATGAGTGACAGTAAGAAACCATTGTGCTCCTCTGCTCCTGGGGCCATCAGGGTCTGGTCCCCAGCATGAATTAGAACAGCCTGCAGGCTGCTCTAGTTTACATCAGCTGCCTATGGCCCCAAAGGCTGTCCCAGCACATGGGGATCCGTTGGGCAGCCAGGAGGACGGGTTGTGTAGCAGGTGTTATGACCACTCCAAAATCCCACTACAGTGGACTGCTCCTCCAGTGGCCAACTCGACTGGAGGTTGTGGTCCTTTATATGTGGCTACTGGGAGCCTGATTCTCCACCGCCGTTGTCATTATTCACACCCGTGCAGATGAATGCAGAGTGGGTGCAAAGCACGATCTCAACTGCAGCTGAGTAGAGAATGCTGGTTTGGTAGCATTTTGCATGTACCCTTTGCACAGATGTAAATACAACACAAGGTGCAGGGCAGCAGAGAATCGGGCTCCAGATGGTTCTATTTACATGGCAACACTTGTAAAACGGAATCATCATAACAAACCCCTCTAGCTCCTGTGCCCTGTATCATGGATCAGCAAGGACTGGGGGTGCACATTAGTTTTTGTATCTGCTCTGTTTAGTTCCTGTGTAAATGTATTTGTGATGCATGTAACTTTCCTTTAGGCGCCCGACTGATGGTAAAAGAAAAATGCACGTATACGAAGAACACCGTGTGCGGCTGCGCCCCGGGGGATTTCTGCCCACATGCTGCAGGCCTGGACTGTGAAATGTGTAGTCCCTACACCATCTGCCTGCCTGGCTCTATGGTGAAAATACCTGGTAAGGCAACATAACTTCTGTAACACCAAGGCAAACCCCTGCAGTCACAGAACGAATCTAGAGCAGGGCAAACTGGCTGAGACTTAATCCAGGTGAGACTGAGGTGATGCTGGGGAAGCAGCCGGAAGAGTGGCTGGGCTGTACATGGGCCCCCCTCACTGAGGGAGTGTGACTGCCATTTGTAACTCAGTTGCACAGCTCCAGGGTGACGTCAGAGCTTGTGTTGAGCTGGATGCCCAGGTAACAGCTGTGGCCAACTTCTGTCCATCTGTGCCTGGCCAGATGCCTCTGACCTCTTCTCCCTAAGGCAGGATTCTCTGCTGAACTGTGCTCTGCCCGGGGCCACCCCTTAGGTCTGTGTAGAATGCTGCAGCCTGCTGACGGAGCGGAGTTGCCTGTTGGTTGCATGTAGGAATTGGCTTTGACCTATAGAGACAGAAATGGTTTGGGTCCTGACGGCCTCTGTCCCCGGCACACACTGCCCCAGCTGCGCTCAGCAGAGGCGCTCACGATGGAGCTCCCTCAATATACATGGGGGGCGGGGGCGTGAAAGCGAGGAAGCTGCTGGGGGTCCTCTGCTCTGGAATTGCTATTCCCTGCCCTGGGCCCTGCCCTAGAGCTGGGCTATGTTCACCATCCAGGGCAGACACAAAGCTGCCATTTCCCTCCTAAACAAGCATGAAATATACAGGGGCAAGGTTAAGTGTGTCAGAGGGTGTGACGAGCTCAGACTCCTTTGGGTGTCGTTGGACACTCACATGATGCTCTTGCAGGCAGCAATTTGCATGAGGCTGTGGGTTTGTACTCAAACATGTTGGCAGCCCACCTACGCAGCAGCAGAGTGCAGAGTGAGTTCAGCTTCAGCTTGTACAAACAGAGCTCCCTCAAGCACGCTTTTGGGCACAGAATTCTGTTAGGAATACCAGTGTGCTAAACACACCCGTTTCTTCAAACAGTGCTGCCTTTGGAGCTCTCAAGGTGCAACAGACTTGTTCAGCAACACCTTTTCCCTGTTAATTACACTGGAGTACATCCTGCTGTAGAGACACAAGTCCCTTTACAGAGAGAGCGGGTGTGGATCCAGGCCATGGTCCATTGTTAAGGCTTTTGATCAAGGGCACATGTGAGTTCCAGACTAACCAAAAGTACCTCACGGTTCTTTGCTCTAATAACTAATGAGCTTGACTGTCCAGCCAGGCGTGTTTCCGAAGGTGGATACTGAGGGGGGTGATGTGAGCTTAACGCACTTTGAGGTACTGGGATGGGAGCTGCTGGCGAGAAGCTGAGTGTGTGGTGTTGTTCCATTGACACGTCACCCAGGCTGTTCAGTAGCATTTCTACACTGCGACAGAAAGGGAGGTTGCAGAGAAGTGCAGGAAAAGGCAAACAGGCGCCTTACAATGACACTCTAGGAAGGGACCTAATTATGTCAGTGTCAACAGGGAATGGGGTGAGGCAGCCTGCCAGGAGCCCAGGAACCTGTGGGGCAGCCAGGCTTCTTGCACAGAGCTGCCAGCAGAGCTGGGAGACCGGGCTGTCAGCTCCCAACACTGCCCCTCTGAGGTCGGTGGAAGCCTTCCTGGTGAGGACATGCACCACTGGCCCAAGGAGGGGAGTGTGGACATGCACCACAAGGGCACTTACTGCGGTGGTTGTAAGTCGACCTAATATATCCATAGGTCTGCAAGTCCAAGTCCCAAAACCCGAGTGCCCCCCACCCCTGCTGTGTTCTGTTGCAGCTTTTGTGCTATTACACAGCTTGGCACCATTATTTTGAGTCTTACTATTCCTTTGGGATGTTGGCCCTTGTAATGGCCCAGGTATGTGGGGCAGCAGGAGGTGCATTTTTCCTCATGTACCTGTGCTCTATGAGTACTGAAATATTTAAGTACAGGGCAGGAATACAATGCCAGTGCAGATCTATTCTTAAAGTGCTAACTCCTAAACGAACCGAGATGGCTCTGCAACATGGTGGTGGTGGTGACAGTGAGGAGATGCGGATGGAGACCTTTCTGAAATCAAAGCTTCTTTAGGCCGCATGTTCAGGAAGGTATCCAGTTATGTCGTCCTCTTTTATAGGCACAGAATTCAGTGACAACGTATGTGAGGTTTGCCCTGATGGAACCTTCTCAGCAACCAACATGTCACACACCTGTCAGCCATGGACCAGGTAGGTGACTCTGACTACACATGGCCTTTTCCCTTGCTTTACACGCTGCATTCTCTCCTTCCATTCATTGTTATTTCTTTGTACCTGAATTTTGCGGCTATATCAGACCTGGTTAGAGATGCCCTGAAGTTCAGCAGCTGGGAAACATAACCCTAAATCAGTAGGGCTGTGAGCTGTGTGGTGGGGAAATCCTTCCCCCAGGAATCGCTTTCCGTACCCTGGGCACTCTCTGTGAGGGCTGGATTCACCTCGGGGCTGTTTATAACCGTGACATGGGATGGCCGGTGGATTCCAACTGCAGCCCCCTCTGCCAGATCCTCCCTGCACAGAGCCCAGTGACATGGTGGAGAGACTGTGTAGAACTAGGCCCAGGGCCATACTGGGACTGGCCACCCATGCAGTGTAACAGCCTCAGTTCCATGGCCAGAGACCCATGGCCACACAGGAGCGGGCAGGGTTTGCCCTCACAGAACACAGATTACAAATACATATGGCACATGTTAGAATTAAGAGTTGAAAACCAGCTCCTCCTTCGATTATCCACCAAGTCCTAAAGACCTTTCTGCCTCCTTGGCATGGGCAGCTGGAGGCCAGTTCAGCCCCTGACTCAGGTTAGGTCAGTTCTGAGGCCTACCAGTGGTCATGGCCCCCTAGGGGCCACTAATAGGGGGCAGAACTGCCCTGGCCATGCCCCCTCCCTCAGCCAATCCATCTCTGGCCTGCCCCCTGCGCCACCATGGCCCACCTGCGCCAGGTGAGGTCCTAGCCCAACCGCACAGCCCGTCTGTCCCACAAACAGTGCAAAGAGGCTGTAGAGCAAGGGTGAATCTGGCCCTTCGGCTCAGTTAGGGTTTGCTCTGCAATGGATGATTGTCTGAGGCGTTCCCAAGTCAGTGTGGCAGCACCACTTCCTGTGCTGCTTGGGTACCTCAGTGACACTGGCATTAAAAACACAGAATCCTACGCTGAGGTGTGGGCAGGTAAAAACTTCTGAGGTCAGTACAGTGAATTTATTGTATTTGTATTTTTCAGTCTAATCCTATGTTCTGTTAACAGTTTGGGCCCTTATAACTTAATTTTCCAATGTGCAGGCTTCTACCACTCGAAGGGCCCAATCCTGCAGCCTTGAAATGTGTGGGAGTTTGGCCTGTCCACAGACTGCAGGATCAGGCCCAGAATCTGGATGGGGTCTTGTCATATTTGATTCACTATATTAAGGAAGCCACCTGGTGGAATGACGGGTGTATCGAGACTGTGAGAAGGCTGTGGATACGCTGACATGTTTAATAACGTCTTCCTTCATCTTAGGTGTAAAGAGGAAGGGATGAGAGAACTAAAGGCCGGGACAGCCACTTCTGATGCAGTTTGTGTACAAAGAGGCCTTTCTGCCACAGCGATGGCATTGATAATTTTAGTTTTAATTGTACCTGCAGTGGCTGGAGCAGTGTACTTTTTTTGGTGGAAGAAGAAGACGAAAGGTGGGGTAAAACGTAAGTAAGAAAAGCGTGGGACCTGTGAAACCTGTCAGAGGGTCTCTAAAGGGGTCAGACTGGCAGAGTTTGAATTTGGCACATTGGTCTTTGTTTCACCCCAGAACATGCCAACCTGTAACTGGAACAGCCTCTTGAAACTGAGAATCCCTGTGAGAGTCTAAATCTCTCTTCTTTAAAGGGTTGCCTTTAAGATCCACTGGCCCTAAATTTGACCTACTTTATGGAGTGAACTGGCTGGTCCCAGGCCAGGGTGCTGTGCTATCGCACCAGCTGCAGTGGACATGCCCCCTGCCCAGCTCGGGAAGGTCCTCTCCCTCCCCAACTCATGGCCAAAATTGACCTTTTTCCCAGGCCAGATTCCCCAGTGGCTAAAAATACCAGCTGTTCACGTTCTCCGAGCAACCTGGACCAGTTCTCCTCTCCTGATGATCTTTCCCGCTTGTATCTGATATGTGCTTACAAAGTTCCCTTTTCATTCGCTGGGGGAGCAGTGGTGTTAATGGAACGGGAGTTTGGGCTCTACTCATAACCTGTTCCTGCTTCAGAAATAAGCATCTCAGTTTTCCCCCTTCATTTATCTACCAAGAGAAGAACACATTCTCAGGTCCAAGAGAGAACGTTGTTTACTGGTTCTAGCTGGGGACTGGGAATCAGGACTCCTGGATAATATTCTCAGCTCTGCCAATGACCAGAGGTGTGAATTTTTGCAAATCGCTCAATTTCCCTGTGCCATAGTGTAGCTGTTTGGCATAATGCCCCCCTTATAGGGTTGTGTGGCTTGCTGTTTGCAAAACTCTTTGAGATCCTTAGAGATTAGGTGCTGTATGGATGCAAAGCATTGTTAGAGCCCAAAATCACATTGGGTTAGCATTGTCACCTAACCACCTTCGTCTCCCAGTGGGGTGATTCCTCAAGATGCGTCTAAGTGTAGTGCAGAGCCACCAGTGGGGCCATGTTCTGTGGATGTGCACCCATATGACCCCACTGAATCGAAGAGAGCTGTGCATGCGTCTAAGGGCAGGACTTGGCCCTGGGACATTAATACAGAAATGTGTCAATACAAAATGCACCAGACTGTTTTCTGATGAGGTTGTTTCTTTTTCTTTGCAGCTGCACAGGAGACAGGGGTGAGTTGTCTAGTCTTTTATGCACAAGCACCTGGAGCAGGGGTTTGCTTGAGTGTCTCTGCCATGGCTATGTCAGCTTGCCCCAAGAGAGAGAGAGAGAGAGAGAGTGTCTGTGTGTGTCTCGCTATGTGACTTTGGAGCAAGTCACTTAAACATTATGGTCCAGATCCTTAAATGTATTTAAGCTCTTAATGTCCATTGATTTTAAAAGTATTTAGACTCCTGATTTCAATGGAAGTTTGGAGCCTAAATATCTTGGAGGATCTGGGTAAATATGCCTTACTTTCTGCATCTGTAAAATGGGAAAAATACCTACCTCATGGGATACCATGAGACTTGACTCTTCCCCCCACACTTACACGTGCATACTCTGTGATTTGCTCCATGATGTTTGTAAAGTGCTTTGAGATCCCTAAATGGAAGGTACCATAGGAGTGCAAAATTCAGTGTTAAACGTGCCCCAGGGTCAGGATCCCCACTAAATGGACATCTATTCTCCAAACAATGTAATGAACCTTTGTAACAAGTGGCTCTGAGGGATAGCACACTTTAAAGTAAAAGAATCTTTAACATCTGAAGTTAAAATGGACTTTTTTCCTTTGTCTTTTGGCCCTTTAATCTCCCAAAGCCTATTTCCCAAACTGCTTAAACATACATGAGACCGACAAGGTGGGTGAGGTCATTTCTTTTACTGGACTAACTTCTGTTGGTGGTAGACACGAGTTTTTGAGCTTCACAAAGCTCCTCTTCAGGTCTGGGAAAGGTAACCGGAGCACCACAGCTAAATACAAGGCAGGACAGATTTTTGGTGTACCTCAGCCAGTGCACCAGCTGCCCCAACAACTATGGGATGATACCAGACAATCACTACACTCTCAAATAAACTCACACTAGAAAAACGATAAAAGACAGAAACACCCTGTTACCCATGAGTGAACACTTTTCACAAAGCAATCACTCCCTATCTGACTTATCATTCCTCGTCCTCGAAGGAAACCTGCACAAGACGAGCCTGGGAGTGTAGGCAAGGTCTGCACTACAAATGTACATCGGTAGAACGACGTCGCTCAGGTATGAAAAATCCCCTCCCTCCAGTGATGTAGTTACACAGACCTAACCCCTGGTGTAGACAGCGCTACGTTGATAGGAGGACTTCTCCCGCCAGTGAAGCTACCGCTTCTCACGGAGGTGGATTAACGACGCTGACAGGAGAAGCTCTCCCCTCGGCGTAGTAGTGTCTTCACTAAAGCGCTACAGCAGCTCAGCTCCGCTGCTGCAGCTTTTTAAGTGTAGACTTGCCCTTAAATTCATAACTCTGCTAGACACTAAGGGCTTGGCTACATTGGCACTTTATACCGCAATAAAGCCTCCCAGAGCGCTCTAATTTACTCCCCGTCCACAGTGGCAAGGCACATAGAGTGCTCTGACTCCCTGGCTAGAGCGCTCCTGGTACTCCACCTCCATGAGAGGGATAACAGCTGTTGCGTATTGGCTGAGATGCCCCAGGGCCAGTGTGAACGAGGAGTTACATTACAGTGCTCTGACTGACCTCCGGAAACATCCCATCATCCCCTTAAGTCAAGTGGCCTCTCTTCTCTTTGTTGTGAAATTGGCTGAGGAATGCGGAAGTGCCTTTTCAGAGCTCCGTTTCAGACAGCGGCTGCTTATCTGCAACGGGGCAAAGCAAACGTTTACTGAGTGAGTGAGAGAGAGGCAGGGGGGCTAGGGAGATCTGAATTTACAAGACAGCGTGCTGACACACTCTCAGCACTCCAAAAGCCCACTCTCTCTCCCCCCACATACTAACAACACACTCAACTCCACCCCCCTCATTTGAAAAGCATGTTGCAGCCACTTGCACGCTGGGGTAGCTGCCCATAATCCACTGCTCCCAATGCCGCTGCAAATGTGGCCATGCCAGTGCGCTTGAAGCTGTCAGTGTGGACAGACTGGAGCGCTTTCCGTAGTGCGCTCTCCGAAGACTGGTTTAACCCAAAGCGCTCTACAGCTGCAAGTGTAGCCAAGCCCTAAGGGCTTGTCTTCACTGACTGGGAGCTACGCCCCTTGTGGAGGTGGTTTTTTTAGAGCACTGAGAGAGCTCTCTCCCAGCGCTCTGCTGCGATCACATAAGCCACGGCAGCACTTTACCGTTGCCAGTGTAGACTAGCCCTAAATCATGGACTCAGCAGAGACACCGGTTATCCCAGTCATTACAACCATTTGTAACCTACTAACCCTGCTTTGTCCTATGACTTGCAGAGGTGTTAATTGCCCACTTTGTTTAAATGGTTTCTTGCAACATGTGTTAACCTCTTATGCTTAACAGTCTGTCCCACCTTTAGCTGTTACACCCTGGTTATCTTTCCCAGACCTGAAGGAGAGCTCTGGGAAGCTTGAAAGTTTGTCTCTTCCATCAACAAAAGTTGGTTCAAGAAAAGATATTACCTTACTTACCTTGTCTCCCTTTCAGCGTATTTGGTTTGGAAATGGGCATCTCTAGAACAGTTGCTGTTTTATCTATATCTTTATGGCATTACACAGTTTAAGATGATGTGAAATTAGTTAGTTACAAAGCCTTAAGATCCGTCCAGCAAACTAGACACTTTTTGTAGGAAAAAATTATGCCAGACAGTATAACGTACACTTTTGTTGTAAGTGGGGAATGACACTCTAGCAGGTGATAGGTAAATGTACCAGCCATTTGATTGTTAGTAACTGTATGTTCATAATGTCTTTGTTTGATTTTGTCATATCTTAAAGGATGAGTCAAAAGGACAGGTTGAGAGAACTTTGATCCAGTCTACAGAGAATGGGACAGATATCATTTCTCCTTAGGAACAAACAAAGGCAAGAGCAGTGGGGGAAGAAAGAAAGCCATTGTCAGCCCTGCACATGTGATTGGATTGGAGGCTTCTGAAAATCGCTCTTCATTGAATTTCAGCCATCATCATCAATGTAACTTGAGTTTCTCTGGCTAAGTCCTGTCATGCTGAAGCCTTCCTCATGGACACATTGTTAGGTGTAATGTCTGCAGACTCTGGGTTCTTGGGGGATGTCTCCACTTGCCATTTAAAGCGAAAAAAGTCCCTGTTTTGCACAAAAACCGTGGGAGCGTCTACATTTGCCAATGACAGAAGTTTCACAAGAAACAGAAACTCACCTCGACGAGAAGCGTACAGTTCTTATCGCTGATCCTTTTGTGGTGATGTGCAAGTGGAGACACGTTCTTCCTTTTAGCCTCCAGAGGATATCCCACAGTGCCTAGGGCGATCACTCTGGCCAGCAGCTCTGCTGCTGTGAGGCCAGGTAAACAGACGTCCGCCTCTCCCCTGTAAAGCTGCAGGAACTTTGAAACTCCCCTTCCTGTTTTGTTTGCAAGTGCTCATCTGGCCAAGTGACCATGGTGGCTCCACAGAGTAAATGATCCGCCGCTGGGACCCTGCGCTCACCCTCCCCTTCCCAGAAGCCCTATAGTGGGATAGCTGCCCTCAGTGCGCTGCTCTCATGGGTGATGAAATGCTGCAAATGTAAACACTCTCTGACCCTGTGGAAGTAACTGAGTACAGAAACCAGTGCTTTTCTTTCACCGGTTCCCTATCACCGATGAAACTCAAGTGTAGACATAGCCTTGGTTTCATTCAGTAACTACACTTAAACGTCCAGTTATTCATTACAATCACCTATCACGCTGGGCTTTGCAGCCAGAAACACTTCCTGGTATCCAGGAATCTCTATTGGACCAGTTGCTCTTTTGACTATATTGGACCAGATCACCACATAGTCAAAGTGGTTTTTATACATAGCTTTAGTTTTATAACAGGACAAGAGAGGGTGGGGACAGAAATCTTGTCTTGCTGTAAATATTTGTTCAATATCATAATACATTAAATCTGCACATTTATTGTTTCTTGTTAATCAGATTTGCTTTGAACCTTCTCTATGTGTAAGATAAAATCCCAGGTAAGAAGTATGGTTGGAAATAAAGCTAAACTGTTTTTACAGTGATGATTGGAGAGTGGACTGCACCATCTTGCTACCCTTGATAAAGCAGCAGTCAGAGGGCTGGACAATCTAGGTATCGATGTGTGATGCGTATGAAAGAAGAAGACAGTGAAGTCATATTCCCCCCAGAGCAACTTTCCTGTCAGTGGGGATAACGGGTTGCGAAGATTCATTCATTAATATGTTGTTTAAGCACTGCAGTGCTTGGATGAGAGGCATTACAAGAGAGAAAAGCAGCATGATTATTATTCTGTGGCATGGTAGAAGTGGGTCTTGTGGAGGGATTTGAAGGAGAGTGCTGTGGCCTTTTCGATTAGTCTGGAGCGATGAACCAGGCATAAGTGAGCCGCGGAAGAAAGAGCCAAGGTGCTTGTGGGAGAGGCCGATGAATGGGTGATGGAGGCTGCCATTGTGGGAGGCCAGGAGATGCTGGGGGTGATGCAGCAAGATAGAGTAGCAGACAAGTAGGGAAAAGCTGCATTATGAGGAGGCTTAAAGGTAGGGAAGAGACGCTTGTTTTCTATAGAGTGGGGGGAAGACTAAGCCCCTTCCCAGGGCCTGAGGCCCTCTGACTCATCCACTGAGTCTCTGGGTCTGCAACTCATCCTAGAGGCAGGGAAAAGGCATGAAACCTGCCCTCCACAAGGGGTTAATATTGGTCTGTCAATCACCTGACTTCCCTTCCTGATGGGCTAAATCCGTGTTGTTGTTTTTTTAACTGGGCCTTAGCCACTTTGTGAGGAGTTGCTAGGCAGGATAGCCATGTGGGTGGGCCCTGCCTGATATTTCCTATTGCTGTATTTTTGTGATTGGGTGACTGTCTTGCCAGGTCAACAACCACTCTTTCTCTGTCGCTGTAATTGGCTGAGGAGGTTGAACAGAACGTGATTTTTTTTCGATTGGCTAGATGAGACTTGTTGCTAGGCAGAGTAGCCAGCCCATTGTTGGGGTACCAGGCTGTGTCTTTGCTGGAGACAAGCAGGTATGTTTTTATATGAAGATAATTATCTAGTGAATAATGCAAATCATGACAATAATCATCGACTTTATGGACTCTGTGGATACAGTTTCTGTTCTTTGTCCTGGAATTGGCCTGAATACAGTTGAAATCCTAAGAATTTGTGGCATAAACACATCTGATACTCATACAGCCCTTCCTCATTCCTTCCTTTTCTCAAATTCTGAACAAAAAATGACTGAACAAAATGGTTTTCAGTTAAAATGTAAAATTGCACAGCAGCCATTGCTCTACAACGCAGCATGGGGCAGAACCTGCCACCCCTTGGGAGTTAAGTGAGCTACTCTCATTCTCCATCCTTCCTAACCTGTGTGCTTCTTTTCATGCTGTCAACCGTGACATCCATCTGGGACCATTTGCTGGAGTCTCAGAGAACTGGCTGCCTTGGTTTTGCTCCTATTAGAGTCGCTGGATAGGGAGCTAGCCCTGAAAGAACTGGGTTCTACTCCCCCCAGGCACTTCCTCTCTGACCCCAGGCCAGTGCTTTAAGGACAGAATTGTAAAGGTTTTTAGGAACCCAAAGTTACAGCTAGACATCTAATGGGGTTTACAAAGCACCAAACCTTCTAAGTGCATTTGAAAATCTCACGAGGTGCCTAAATACCTTTGAAAATCTGACCTTTAGTCTGTGTGTGCCTCAGTTCCCCACCTGTACAATGGGGATAACAGCATTGCTCTACCTTGCTGAGGGGCTGGGAGGAGAAATAGGTTAGAGGCTGTGAGGAGCAGCCTCAGATACTACAGTGATGGGGCCACATAACTAGGATAGGTAGAGTGGGAACTTCTCTATACACTCAAGTATCGGGGTAGCCATGTTAGTCTGTATCCACAAAAACAACAAGGCATCCGCTGGCACCTTAAAGACTAACAAATCTTGTTAGTCTTTAAGGTGCCAGCGGATGCCTTGTTGTTTCTCTATACACTGCTAACCCTGCTCTGGGTCTGACCCCTTCTTTTCACCTAAGCCCCCAAATCTCCCCCTTTTCTGAATGTAACCTTGGCTCAGTGCTTTGCTGTATTTTTCCCAAATCCCCTGATCTCTCTGACAAAACCTCTCCCCCCTCCAAGGAGGGATTCCTCTTTTACAGCTAAACTTCCAGCCTCTTCATTTAATCACCAGCAATTTCTGATCTTAATCACCGGGCCTCTGCTTGTAAACAAAATACAGGCTCCCTGCCCCGGGGCACCTCTCGTCTGCACAACGGACACTAATGCTGGGCTGTAGTTAAGAGCTCCACCTGGGAGCTTGCACCTGCTGTATGAACCTCGGGGGGCTGCTCTCCCCTGCCCCCCTAATTGGCGCCCTTGGTGGGTTTACTTTAAGTGTCTCTCGCCCTCTAACAATATAACCCTAAAGAGCAGCCTATTGGGAAAGTCCCGCCTGCTTGCATCATTCACTTTCACTTTGTCTCGAGCTGGGCTGGTTCCGGGCTGGTCTCTTGCTGCTGCTGCGGGGCCGTCGGGCCTGGATTAGAACCTGAACCGGAGCAGGACTTTGGGCTTGTGTCCTGCTAGCGGGCCGGGAGCTCCGGAGAAGGGCGCGGGGGATCCATGGGGCGGACACCCCAGGACAGGGCGGTGGCACCAGGCTCGCTAAGGGCAGCAGCTTGTCACTGATCGGGACCTGGCGGCCGCGCTGCGCTGTAGCGGGCAGAGACTCAATGCCCAGCGGGGGCAGACACAGACAGGCTCTGCGGGCTGGTCTCAGGTCCATGCTCCGGGTAAGTGGATCCCGAAAGCTCCTGAAATAAAATGGAGCCAACCAGATCGGCCCTGCCCAGCAGAGAGACTGGGAGAGGTTTGGGGGTGCATGGGTGGGGGAGGGATTGTGGGAATCTTCTGTGACTAAGAAGATCCCAGGAAGCTGAATTTTTTACATTGATCCTTTTTACTAACGCGAACTACCCGCCCTTCCCCCGCGGGGATTTGGGGTTGTTTACTACTTCTTCGAGAAAATCTCTCTGTATTTAGAAGCTGTTGGGCTCCATCTGGTGGAAACAGCAAAGAACAACACAAATGAATATTGAAAATAAAACTTTTCCTTCTTAATTTAGTAAGAAAAAAATACCGCGGGGAGATTTTGGTTTGTTCTCATCAGTGATACTCAGCCTGGCGCTTGGGGGGTCTAAGTGGATTGACTTTTCATTATGTAGATTGGCAGAAGTTTTTATTAACGGACACTGATTTAAAAAAAAACAAACAATCCTATCCCCAAAGTTGCCCTTTGAATGGGGAAATGTTTGAGGATTCTAAATGGACAGTAGCTCGTTGTGGTGCGTTGTACTGAATCCGCTGCTACTCTAGCCCCATAGTTTGTTGTTTTGTATCTGCCGTTTCC